TAACTGGAATCTTGTGAACGTGTTGGGATTTGACTGTCTAGCATCAGTATCTAAAGATTGGTAGGATAGAATTCCAAATATCTATTAATCTTCTTATCTGTAAATGACTTTTTTTATATTTTGTCAACAAACATCAGTGGTGTAATTAATGAATGTTAATTTTTTTTTTTTTTAAACTTTTGTCCTTTGGGCACTAAGCTTCTTTTTTAGCAAGCCATTATGAGTCCAGACAGGCCCACAATGGAACAACCAGATGGTGTGTGATGGGCTTGACTTATCCAGAACGTTGGGTCTCCCAGAGTCTACCACTATGGGATACCTGGGAGGCTCTTAAAGACTCTCAACCGCTTGGCTCTCTAGCCATCAAATGTAAAATTTTCAAAGATTTTGAAGATTACACAGTTTAGTCATTTATCTAATATATAACTTTTCGAATCGAATAATACATTTATCAATATTTTTGCTACAGAATCATAACTAATGAGAAAAGAAATGTTTGTTTAGTTTACATACCATAAAAGAAAAATTTCAATAAATTCTAATTTATATATAATATATATGATTAGAACATTATAAAAACTTAGCTCATCAGTAGCCAAGTGAATAAAACCACCAAACACTTGGTAGTTGGTTGCAGGCTTATGCTCTATCAACAGGCTGGTTGCATGAAATTTTCTGGGTCTTGATGTGTAAAACCTTAACTGGGGCCAGTATTCCATTAAAGCCTTCTTTAGGTGGTATCTTCCCTTTGGCAGATTGACTGCGTATTGCATTATCCTATTCTATTATCAATACTATTATAAATACTTCTATTTTACATAAAATATTTATTTGATAAATAATTTTATATATATATTTATCGAATGCAACCTTTTTTTATAACAAACTTCTAAATTGAAATTTTTCTTTATTAACAGTAATTTTTACTGAAATAAGAATTTTAAATGATATAAAATTGTTTTCCCCAAGCCATTCTTAGCTGATCAATCAACCAACTAAATATTTAACTGCTGATGAGTTAAAAATGTTTTTTGTTTAATGTTTTTTTATTTATTAAAGTTAACCAGATTAAAGACTAATATTATTATTACTTTATTAAATGTTATAGCACGCGTATTGTCTGCTTTGCTGTTAACTGAGGTTTGTAAGAAAATTGGCAATCACAGCCAGTTAACATTGCAAGACATCTAAAGTGTTCCGTGGGAAGAACACTATAAGTTTAAAAACTGAAATGATAGATACTGTTAAGAGGATAAAGCAGTATTTGGTTTTAACCATTTTAATAAAAAAAAAAATATATAAGAAAATACACTCAAAACTCAATATTTTCAACATTTACAAAATGTGTTCCTTTGGAACTGATTTTATTCGACACAAGAATTTTGTAACATTCTATATGCATTACTGTTTCAAAATCATTTCCTGATGATATTGTGTGAGAATTTTTCAAAATTATATAATGTAGAATTTAACTTTAAATGTTTTCCAATTTAACTAGGACATCACACGACTTTGTTGTTTTGTGATAGAATTTAGGCACAACCAGAAGAAAGAAGCCATTCCTGCATTTGTTAGGCACAGAAGAGGCAATCCAAGAACAAAGCAATCCTCATCAATTGCTTTGTTCTTGTGTTTTGTTTGCTTTTTGTGCTATTTTTACTTTTGACCTGAAGGCCTAAATTTCAATAGGCATGGCATGCTCAGCTGCATTAGAGATCACAGACATTGTCAATTTTAACTCCTCTGTATATCAAAAACTCCTCACTCTCTGTTTTATATTTAAATGGACTTGCATTACATTTTTGAATTCCTTGTCTCAAATAATGGAAAATGGTAAAGTTTTATCAAAATTGGCCCATTAAATTTGGGAACAAACTCTACTCTATAGTGAAGCCCATAGATGATGTGCTAGCGACCATAAAACATTGTATGATAACAATTTGTCGTGCACGCTCATGAAACAACCTTATATCTCTAAAAAGAAGTCATGGATTTCCATTTTTTATTACATTTTTGGATTCCTCATTGCAATTAATAAAGTGGCAAAGTTTAATCAAAATCACTCAACACATTTTGAGAAAGAACACAATTTTATAAACCTCGTAAAAGAGGCTTCGCTAATGCTCCGACTCAAAAATGTAAAGTTTAGAATACAAACAATGGATTTTATATAGGAATTATTGCTACAAAAATATAAAGTTGTTTTATTTAAAAAGTAAATCTTATTTTGTGATAAACAAGTAAGAATAAATTTATTGAATTTTGAGTTGCAATGTATTTTTGAATAGTTGTTCATATATTATGGATTGATAATCAAAAACAAAAACATTTAATTCTGTAGAAGTTATTGGAAATAAAATCGTTTTCATATTGATATTTCAATTCATTATATTTTTTTGAATTTTCAAACATGATAGGATTTTCGTATGATGTTAAAAAACTGTCGGATTGTAAATTATATAAGTAAATATTTCTTGAAAATACAAGAAGCCAATTAAGACAAAAATTCATTTAATATATTATATAAAAAGAAAAGTTATATATCTATTTACAACTAAGTCTCTATTTCGAGTAATTTATTTACAATAAAGTGAATTTTTTTCAAGTCAATTGTTCATTTAAAGAAGAAAATTACTCTCCTCTGGATAGCAAAGTTTACTGTTTTTTATTTTATATTCTTCAATTGTTGTCTTTTCCTTTCTTGTAATGTTTATATTTATCTTTTTAAATTTTTATTCACTTTGTATGAGATTAAATTTTCATCTTAAACTCCCTATTTTTATTTTTAATAGATCATTTTTGATTTTGTTGAACCCAAGTGTTTGTGTGGTTTGATGTAGGTGTGTGCTTTACTTCCATTTATTAGTGAATTGATTCTAATACTTTTTACTTCTGGTATTATTTATTATTGATAAATTACTTTTTAAGTTATATTTTCATCTTAAAGAACATATTTTTCTTATTTTATCCTGCAAGTTAAACATATCATGATCTTGTTTGAATGTCGCTCTCTCACATTTCATCTGATATTCGGTCCATGTTAGAGTGGTAAAATGATTTTACTTGTAAATCTTTGTTGTAATATATGCTGGAATGGTAAATTTTCTCTATTTTGATAGCCTGTTTTCCACTTTCTGCTAATTAAATGTTTTTATCATCGATAATCTTTTCATTTTAATGCTTTAAAACTAGACAGATTCGTGACTTGTGATGTGATTGACCTTTTAATGATGCAACTTTAGATTATAATCTGGTAGCTGTCCAAATCAGATAATAAACTAGTTCATAAGTATTTATTGGATGGATGTTTTCTGATATTTAAACCTTTAAACATTTCGCTGAGATTTCTGTGTTTTCCTCTTTTCATAAACGTCTTATTATTATCCTAATTGATCATTAGAAGAAATGTTTCATTTAGTAATAACTTAATAGGAGTCTTCTAATTTATTCTTTAAGAAGCTTTATAGATTTTTAAATGAAAATATCAATGAATTTCAGATAAGTTTTCTCATTCTTCTAATTTTTGTTTTTATTAACATATTTTTGAAAATTTTCCATTTTGACAAATGTGGTAGATTTTTTTTTTAATATTTTGATACTTTGTCATTCATTAATTTTAAGCTGGATTGTTTTTGTGCATTGTAGGTGATAAAATCTCTGTTGTTTTTTTTTTTTTAGGCATTACCTTGAATTTTTGCAATAAAAAAATGCTCAGTAATGCAACAATTTAACGATTTATACTAGCATAAATTCTGCTATTTATAAAGTTATAAAACTTTTATTTCGAGAAATTATGGTGGTTTATTTTCTTGCAGATTTACTGTTGTAATTCACAGTAATTTTCATGCTATATATATTACAGGAAATTTTTAGGAATGAATTTGATGAAATTAACATGAATTACTTAGAAAACTGTATATTAAGATGAAAAATTTATAATTTGGTTTTACAGCATGAATTTGTTGGGCTACACTAATCCTGTTTGTGGGGTTTGAACCCAATGATGGTTTGTTAAGCTAGCCAAAAACGTTTGTTTTTACCAAATTAAATGATGGATTATAAAGGTTTTTATATTATGAAGCAATGTGGTTTCGATTGAATATTTTAATTTATCGTATTATTCTTCCCGATAAATTTTATATTATGATTTGCATTGTATTGAATACAAAACATAAACATTTTTTTAATCAAATTTTGAAAACTTTATTATAATATTTTATGGAAAAAAAAATTAAATTACTTACCAAGTTGTTTGGTTAAATAAACACAGTGTCTCAATCTTTTAATTTTATTTGAAGAAATTTGCATACTATTATTGAATTTAGCATTCCAGAAGAAATTTTATATGCAAATATTATAACAAATATAATAATAATAGTAATAATAGAATTTAGGGATTTTTCTTTCTAATTAATAGTTGAGAATAATACTGTCACATTTTACCATATAAAAAGTAAAATGTAATACAAAATGTTCATTTTAAAGTACTTCCCATATACTGAGTTACAGTACTTGTATTTGCTGCTTTTGTCAAGAAATATAACTCTTAAACAAAGAATTTTCCTAAAGTACACGTGTTGTGTCAAGTATCATTTTAATGAGTATTCCCAAATGATACGGAGCCAAACAAAGCAATGTTGTATCACGTCATTACAAACTTTGAAGGGCTATCTGCAATCAAATTGTTGTTGCACCATTCCAAACGTTGGCACTTGAATTGATGTGACAACAATTTGATTCTATGTGACTAATGACATATCTTTTCAATCTTTCTAATGATTTTTGAAGAGACGTCTCGTTTTATTTTAATGATTATTAGTAAAGAAAATAAAAATTATTAAACTTATATGACATAAATACTAATTTATTTTGAATTGGTGAATAACAGTTTTATTTATTAATTATTATTTATTTTTTTTTTTAGATAATATATTATATCACGTGATTGAATTTTTAAAAAATATCTTGAAATAATTATTAATTATAATTTTATTTTGTAGGAACATCATCTACAACAATGACTCAAAGTATTGAAAGTCCTGTGTCTTCTGCTGCAGTAACAGTTTCCAGTCCAGTTGGTGAGTCGTACACATCTCAGCAAGCACTGTCGTCTCAAAAACGTATGATGTCTTCGGGTTTTCAACCTCCTCCTGTGTTAGATGAAGGAAGTCAAGCTTCTAATACGTCGGCTTCGTCATCCCTTCCAGAAGAACATGCTACCACTCCTAAACCCAATAGTAAATCAACATTGTCTCATCCTCCAACACCAAATACACTTCCATCGCCAGGAGCAGCTTCAATGTCATCTTTTCATGATGAATTCGATAGTGTTTCCAGTCCTAGCTGGCCAAGAACTCCGGCTAGTCCAGTAAGTTGTGTAATTTCTTAATCTATAAACATACGTACATATATTTTTAATATTTCACTGAGTTGTAATTATTATATATCCACTTGATATATTTATAAACTTACTTTGAGAAAACTCAGGATTATCAATTTCTAGGTTGCAAAATATTAAGTCAAAAGTTTCAAAAATTGAATCGTATAAACAAATATTTTTATCAAAAAATAAAATATTGCTCCTTTTCAGATGAATAATATAAATTGTAATCAGTTCATTGAGTTCATAGCATATTGTTAACTTCTGTCATTTGTTTTATGTACAGATATACAGGCTCATCCAAAAAGAATGCTATCATTTAAAATTACTGTAATTATGTTAATTATTATTACCCAAGACATGCATTGGGAACCAAACAATACAGTAAATGTCCCAGGATTTCATCTACCATCTTCATTCAAATGCCTTTTTGCCTGCTGCCTCTAGGAAGTGCCATAAACAAAAATGGTGTCTCTGCAACAGAGAAGGCATTTTTGTGTTTTGCAGTCTGCAAAGTCAGAATCAGTCATCATTGTGCAACAAGAATGTTTGCCTTAAGTGGTTGATCACCAAAATTGTCTGTGAAACTTAAAAAAATCATAAAAGATCATGTTGCACAGCGATGACTGATTTCAACTTTGCAAACTACAGAACACAAAATGCTTTCTCTGTCATAGAGTTGCCGTTTCTGCTTACTGCACCTCCTAGAGGCAGCAGACGAAAAGAAGTTCGCATGCAGGCAATAGATTAAACCAAGACATTTACTCTATTGATTGATGTGAATTGCATACTTATTGGGTAATAATTAACATTATTACAGTCATTCAAAATGGTAGTATTCTTTTTGGAAGACCCTCTACATTTTACACGTTGAAAAGCACTTTTGAAATTTAGAAATCTAATTTGTGTATTAAATCTAATTAATAATTTAAAAAAAACTGATAACTATAATTTTATCTACAGGTAGTGAACAACCAAGTCTATGAGCATCACATCATTAAGGTTGTTAAAATTTTTATTAATATAATTGCTCCATGTTAATGTGTTGCTTGTTATTCAGTATGATCAATTATTGCATGGCATGATAACAGATTTAAACAAAAATACATCAGAAACAAATACAATTTATTCTTATTATGGTATTATTATTATTATCTCTGTATTAAGATTTGCATGTAACTATATGTATTGATATTTTGATATATGTAAGTTGATCAAATCAGAGTTACACAGCTTTCAACTCGTGTATATGATGATAAATTTAATTATGGTTATATTTAATTCATAGTAAAATAAAAATTAAGTATTTTATACAGATACTAATGTAAGAATATAGTACTTTAAAGATTATTTTTGTGTTGAAATTTATAATGATAACAATCAGTATAAATTTCAACAAATTGTAGTTGTAATATTTTTGAAAAAATGATAAAAATTTACTTATGTATATTTTAAAATTATGGAAGAATCTCAATAATTTATCATTGTTTAATGTATTAATTTGGTTATACCAAATTGTAGCTAATGTTTCACATTAATACATTTATGGTAAATAGAACATATACCAGGGGTGGCTGAACCTTATAAACAAGTTAGTAGCCATATATCACTTATCAGAAATATGCATAAGCCACATTCTCTATTAAAACAGTATTTTATATATATAATGAAAGTTTGTTAAAAGAAATTGTATAAGTAAACTATATGGAGCCACGCTAAGAACCACTTGCATCTTGCGAGCTTTAGTTTGGTCACTGTGAATATATATACTATTAATTTTATTTTTACTATATAAAAATAAGTTTATAAGTCAATGGCGTGAAAATGCTGGTTAAATTTAAAGAAACGACATGCTCATAATACCCAAAAAACCAGCAGAAAATTAAAAAACTCACATTAACAAATGTCTTCATTATTTATTGATCATCATGCATCATTATCATTTTTCTAATATGATTTTTTAAATTTTCTTCTAGTTTTTTTGGTATTATGAGTCTGTTGTTTCTTTAAATAAGTTTTTCATATAATAATGAAAAATCAAAATGCAAATATGTTAGGTCTGAATTAGTGTTAGATACTAACAATATAATCATATCAAAAACACTATTTTGAGAAAACCATATGCTTTGTTTAATATCTTTTGTTAAAAGACTGTATTGCTATATTATAACACATGCTGTGATGAATTTTAAATAATAATTAAGTACTTTACTGTACAGACTTATATAAATGTGATTCATTATTAGTTAATATTTATAAAACATATTAGAAATATCTTCATTAATTACTAAATAGAAAGTAAAAAATTTATTACAGTAGAAGATAAATAAAATAGTAATATAAATTATCAATCTATTTAGGAAAATATTCAGAGTTTAGATTTATTATATGCTAATTACATTTGTATATTATGTAGATACAGTTGTAGTTTGTATGTAATGTCTAAATATTCTTTCAATAACCAACTATTAAAAATTAATGCAGTATCAGACTGGATGAAGTTAATATAAAAACCAAAATACCATTACAATCCAGCATTTAGTTTTAGATAAACAAACACTTTTAGCTAGCTACTAACAATCGTTGATTATCCATTAAAAGTTGACGAATACAAATTCAATCGAGGCATAACTTTATTAATCTTAATTATATTTATCTTACTATCTTATTAATAAGAATGAAAGAAAGAGCAAGCCTGAAAAAAATATTACAGTCTAACACTTAAGTCAATTGTTGTTTTTTAAGAAAATTTTAAAAGATTCACTACAAATAAATTTCACACATTTCACTATAACAGTAGGACATGCACTATTCATAAATAATTGAAAAAGTTACTCTACATTATTCAATATGTAGAGTATTTGAAATCTGAACTTTACATATTACTGTTATTTTTAAATATACTAGACTTTTGCTAATTCGGCTATTCCTTGCATACGAGTGCCAGATTAGCAAAAGTGCCCAATTACTGAGAAGATACAGACCTAATACTTGTGTAAAGGAGTGAATGACATGGTCCATTGCCCTTCAGTATCTTTTTGAAGGTGGGCAGGGAAATAATACAGCATTCTGACATGCAGAACTGTACACAGAAATGAAACCCAAGTAAACCTCTAAATGGATTGCACGGCATGATTAATATTTTCGTGGAAACTGAATCTCGAGCCAATTACACTGGGGGTGTATGCTAGATAATTGAGAGATCAGATTAGCAAGCATGTACTGTATTTTGTTATAAAAATTCTTCAAATTTCAAACTTTTGTAATAAAGTTTTATTTACAAATTTGTAATTAAAGTAAAATAATTACAGTAAATTTGTAATTATTACAAATAACTACAACTTTACTGTATCTTTTTGTTACTTTTATAATTAATTTGCACAGTTATAGTTTTGTTTTTCATGTTCATTTTTATTGTCATTTGCAATTAGGATTTAATAAAAATATAAATTTAAAATAATAATAATAATTGTTTGTGACATTTGATGATAAAATGTGTGATAACCTACCATTCAGATTATTTGAAAACTTTTCTAGATTTACATTCACTTTAGTACAGTAAAATAATTTATATAAGATATATGTGTTGAGATAAATATATTAAAATTTTAAACAATAAAACTGTGTTTCAAATGATAAGATTTTACACTTAAATTAGTAAATAATTCTAGAGTTTAAAGAATCGAAAATTCTACATAAAACAAATGAAGTTATAACACTTGCAATTCTACTAAAACTTGACCATCTTTCAATATTAAAATTCTTTAATAAACACAGATTCTAAAAGCAATTACAGATTATTTTCAGTGGTACATTGCTATCTTTATCATGCAAAAGTTTACCAAAAAGATAATTAAGCGTTTACGCTCATAAGAAAAATTTTAAACGTTCGTTTGATGTTCCACTTTGACAAAATCTTTTGCCTGACAAAGGCGGCAGTGCATTATTGTAAGTACTTGCTTATAGAATTTGTGTTTTTAGAAAATTTTAATACTAAAAGACAGTTATTTAGTGGTTTTTTTTTTTTCACTTGCAATTCTTTGTAATTGAATTAATCACTAAAGTGTAAAATTTTGTAGTAAAAATATATTAGATATAAAATTAATACATAAATAGGTAACAGGTAAATGAGAACAGTTATCAAATTTTCAGGACATTTTCATTATTAGACTTTCTAGTATATATTCTGCTTTATATTCATTGTGTTAAAAGTATACTTAGCTGACTTTATATAAATTTCTATCAGAACTTTCTTCGAATAATTCAATTGTAGTTGAAAAATAATCTGGCTTTTGGATACATTCAACTTCAGAACAAAAATTGCTATAAATTTGAAAGTATTTTAATTTAAAAATTCATTAATATAATATTTAGTAGTCAGTTACAAAAATTATAAGTTATTCTACATGAAAATGTAACGAAATAAATTGAAATTAAACTAAGCTAGCTTGTACATAATTGATTAAAATAGAACTTTCAAGTATATACATTATTTGATTGAATATGATGATTATTTTTTTTTTTAAATTGTCAGGCAAATAATGAATGCTTCTAGATGGCAAGCAGTTAAGTAAACAAGCCAATGATAGACTGTATCATTGACTTGTTTACTTAACTGCTTGCCATGTAGAAGCATCCAATGTGATATCAAATATAATAACATAGAAAATGTGTGTAGTAGTCTCTAGTGTTTTTTTCTTTTTTTAAATCAAAATAAACTCTAAAACAATGAGTTTTAAGTTAAAATGGGTTAAAAATTATCTAAATATTGGTTGCAATTGATCGAAACATAATGTCGTCAATGATAACTTATTGAGATTTTTTTTAGTGGTTTTTATCAAAACCTGTTGCCTTATCGTATCGCTTGCTTTCTGCAAAGTAGTCGATACCCACATTGCCTATTTTGAAAGAAATAGTTTAATAAAATTGAAAATGCCGATTATTATTTTCTTAACAATAAAGGTTGAATTATAACGACTTGCCAAGTTTTTAACAATTATTAATTGTTCTAATTCTAATGTAGCGACCTGATGGATTACTGAAGTTATATGATATGTCGGAAGAGCCCGATCGTCGGAATTTTTTGGATAAACTTATTATGTATAACGAAGAGAGAGGAACTCCCATAACTCAGTGCCCTACAATAAGCAAACAACCGTTGGATCTATATCGCCTATATATTTCTGTGAAAGAAAGAGGAGGGTTTGTGGAGGTAAGTTTAAGATTAACGTAATATATTTTCAGATGCTAACACAAAATATTTTAATGTTATTACAAATAAAGTAATTGGAATATATTTCGACAAATGCATACTAAAAAATCAATAACAACATTTATAGAAAAACTCTTTCAAACTTTAGGTTTAGTTTTATTATGTAATTATGTTATCAAAGGTATAAAATGTAAAAATATTACATGATTACAGTTTTAAAATTTGATAAAAACAATACATTTTTTCTTTAAATTTTTAAATGTTTATATCTCAATAGACACTTAATAATAATTAACAGTCTTACAAAAGTAAGTATTTCACATAGAGTGAAATATTAATGGAATATTTTTATTATTGTTATGAAATTCCATAGTGTTTCAGTTTTGTGAATAAGTCACTTTTAACATTGCATATACATAAATTTTTAAATTACATTCATTAATTTAAGTATTATAAAAAAATATATATTTATATGAGAAGATATGACATTCATTTCTTTTGTAACTAACAACCTCTTTAAGCATTATNTGATATGAATATGCTTTAATTAGAATAAATTTAAAAAGCTGGTTGAAAAAGGATGATTGTAAAAGTCAGATGATAAATTTTGAAATTGTATGATACATTACATGCCTACATAAAATATCAAATTATCCAAAAAAAATTCTGCCAGATTTTTCTAAATTACTGGAAGAACTTGAGAGCTTTTTTACTTGATAATAAAGCTATTATCAAAAATTTCATTGCAGTACATAATATTGTTACTTGGAGGGGTTTTTTTGTGTAAGGTGATACTTTCATTTTCATTAAGTTCTTAATTTTTATTTCATTTTAATTACTTTAAGAATTACTATTATAATAATAATATGAATTTGCAAAAATAACAACAAATTTAATAATTATGTATGAATTTATATAAATATAAAACATATTTTAAATTTTTATGTGAATTTCATAACAGTATATTAATTTTAACAAGTGTATTATTATTATAATAGCATTAATGTTAATATAATCTATTCTAGAACAAGGTTTTTCCACCTTAAAATTATCTATATTTGACTTTATTTTTGTTTTAAATAAAGAAGAAATGATTTTAAAACATGTTATGTATCTAGTGATGCAAATTTAAAACTTGATTTCTGTTAGAAGGCATTTAATGAATCTGTTTTTGATTAGTTTTGGATTAAATATATTTTAATAGTATTTATTGACACTCCATACTGGATAAAGTAGTTTGGTTTAGATTAGTGTTGTCCTTGATTAAATCTGATAATTTTTGGCATCTATTGATAATTCTTGGTTGTCTATACATTTATTTACTGAAAATATTGTATATTAAAGTATTTTCTTATTGACAACTTGATATAATTTTTTTATAGTTAATGTTTTTGTATGTATGTGTAATAAATAATATATATATTGTGATGGAAGTACAAAATTATATTGCCTCAAACTTCATTTTATTTATAGGTCACAAAATCTAAACAATGGAAAGACGTAGCTGCAGCGGTTGGAGTGGGAGCATCATCCAGTGCAGCTTACACTCTTCGAAAACAATATATTAAGCATTTATTGCCATATGAATGTAAATTTGATCGTGGTGGAATTGATCCTCAGCCTATAATTAACCAAGTGGAAGCTGCAACAAGGAAAAAGGGAAAGAATTCTTCAGGTAAAATTCATCTTTTTTATATTTATAAGTCCTCATCGCTTAATTGTAATGATGGTTTTGAAATTTGTGAAAATATATTATGGTATTTGCACAGTTTAAAACTATAAGTGGGGAATCTGCACATGCCAAGTGTGGTCTTTTTTGGTTTGTAGTCTGGCCTAAAAACAATATAAAATTGTACGAATTTAATTCAGCTGTGAATTTTGAATTATTTAAGTGTGTTTCTGCACTTTTTTCTGTAAAGACACATATCTGAATACAATTTATATATATATTTTTGGTACATATATAATGAATATATATACTTATACAACTTTCTATACAACATGCAGTCTTAATGAGACATGACCTTCTGAATACAAGACATTCCCCATCTTTTATTGAAATACTTTTATGTAAAGAAGGCAAGAGCAGTTTCTATTATATTCAGTAGAGAAAACCTTATACATTGAAATAAAAAATAAACAATTTCTAATTTAATATATAAATTGAGTAATCTGTTTTTTCATAAGCCATCCACTTAAATTTTAATCATTCCTGTTTAATACCTAACATAAAATCCATGAACTTTCTTGATTCATATTGTCATATTGTGTCATTGTATATAGCATTATGTATATAGCTGACATTTGTGAATATATGAATTACATATCATGTTACAGAAGCTTATATATGGTTTCTTCAAATAGTCTTCGTGTCACAACGTTTTCATTTACAAAGTATATAATTTTATTTATTTATTTTATTGTTATTGATACAAATACTTTCAAACAAGGGGGAAAAGAAAGAGAATTTAGAAAATAAGCAGCCATGTAATAATCTCTTAATTTATACTTAAACATTACAAATAATACAAAGATTTAACAAAAAAAGTAAATAATTTATATATCGTTGTCTTTGACATATTCCTTTCATATAAATAATTCTTTGAAAAATTATTGGTGAGAATCTCTCTCTTTAACGAATGTAAGCTGGACACGATGCAAAAATGTATTAGTATACAGTCCTAATCGATAACACAATATACACGAGAATGCCCCTTAGAAATATCTATATGCTGACCACTCAACATTATTCTGTATTTATTAATTAAGACATGGTTGCATTAACAAACTTTTTGTAGAAAATCCAATGTTGTATTATAAATGATTAGCAGTCTGTCAACCCATACTTCTTTCATAAATATTATGTCCCTGAACTAAACATAAGCTATATCTTAATACCATAATTGTTCACATCTAATAAGTTCTCAATTGTAACTGTAAATGATTCGAAAATGCAAAAAAATGGCCTAAATCAGGGATGGCAAATCTTTTTGAGGTTGCGTACCATATAGTAAGCATACTTACCTTTATAAATGTTATGTGTGCCAAAGTTTTAGACTTCAAATAATGATATTTAAAGAAATTAAATGAATATGCTTTAATTAGAATAAATTTAAAAAGCTGGTTGAAAAAGGATGATTGTAAAAGTCAGATGATAAATTTTGAAATTGTATGATACATTACATGCCACAGGTTTGCCACCCCTGGTCTAAATTATCAAAAATGGTTTTAATTGATAAAGCCCAATTTCTCTTACTTGAATTTCCTTTCTCCAGTAAAGAATCATAAACACAATAACGAAAGTCATGATGAGAAAGATCAATAATCTTAGACCAGAACAACAAAATATTAATTTTGAGTGGAGTGGTCCCTAATTCCAACCTTACAAGTGCATTTAAGCTTGAATAATCTTTTAAAATATCTTAATTGCACTTTCTCAATTTTTTTCAATAAGACCCAAATGCCAAATTGGAATTAGATATGTAAATTTAGACTTTAACATAGCATCAAAAAGTTAAATATTGCTTTAATAGAGCTTGTCCTCATTGTTTCTGTAGTGCAAAAAGACAACCTGTCTTCTGTTGTATATCTTTAGAGAGGTTGCGGCCAACATTTTTAACGCGAAAACGTGTACGTCGGACATTCAGTATCATCTTCCTGTAAGCCTAGAAGTTTGACAATGGTGTTTGGAACATCATCTTTGGAACAGCATCTTAGAATCATGCTCAATGTTCTAAACGCCATTGTCAAACTTCTAGACTTACAGGAAGGTGACGCTGAATGTCTGACGTACACATTTTTGTGTTTAAAACGTCGGCCACAACCTCTCTTTTCTCTACTATATCCAAACAACAATTAAAAATTTATCAGTTTTATTTAGTTTTCCTCCATTACGAAACACCAATCCCTTTGTTTTTCTGAAAATTAATAGAAAGATCATATCTCATCATATAATAAAATCAGTTTCTCGTGTAAAGATGACTTTGAGTTTGCTAATAATAATACATCATCTGCATATAGAAGACAATGCAGCTCATCTGTGACATTTAGATAAAAACTCAAAAGATCAGAATGACAGTATAACTCTGGTAGATCATTTATAAACAAAGCAAAGTGTACAATATAAATAGTTTTTCTAGCTGAAGAAAACATACAAAAACCATCAGATTTATTTCTCCAGTTTGCTTAAACATGTACATTTCTTTACTCCACTAAGAGCCTAACCTTTTACAACATATTTGGCACTTTCACTTGGGACTAAACTGCTCAGAATTTGAGGAACACTACAGCATGTATATCTCAGTCCTAAGACTTTATTTATGTAAAAATACATAAGACACTGTGGACCTATAGTGGAAAGAGAATCTTTCTAACCTGTGCCCTTGAAAAAATGTCTGTAGCACTGTCTAAAATAAGAGTGAGAGAATTGCGTGCATTTAAAGGATTGTGAGGAAACTTAACCCAAGTTGTGTGTTTAAAATCGTAATTCGTTATTTTCTTAATTTGTGAATTTTCCATTTATTTATTTATTTACCCTTTTAGATTATTATAAAAAGATATTAATATAAAATTGAATACAGTCAAATGTAATATATTTGCTAGAAATTATTATAGTAATATCTTTCATTTGATGACTACAAAACATACTAATAGATTAGATAATGTAATTGAAATAAACTATGTTTATATACATTATCAGTATTGAGATAAAATGATGAAAGTGAAAGTTGGGGATATGTGAAATCCAGACTCTAGTAATTATTGGCATACAAAATTTGAAATGCATTTGTGAGGATGAATGAAAAATTTTTAAAATAATGATTACTCTATTATATAAATAAGTAAAGTATTGCGTTGCTTAGAAATCTACTTTTGTTTTGAGAAAAATAATACACATGGTGATAGTTAGAAAATATCACCAAACCGTGCTTTTTTACAGACACACTACAGTGACATTATTCAACACTTTATTCAGTTGGTATTATCCAACTGAATAAAGTGGTGAATAATCTGCCAAGTGTTGAATAATGTCACAGTAGTATGTCTGTAAAAATGCAAGGTAAACTACAACACGATTTCATCAGAATCAAACAAAAAAAATCACCAAACCAGTCAGTGATGAGCCTTCCATGACACGGTGAGTGCCACATTGCAGTTTGAGGTCAGCTTATTCCATACTGATGGGTCTCTCTGTCTGGGTATCTGTAAGCACTTTACATTCATTCTCCACCTAAGTCCAACAGTCAAATGTATCTTTTCCACAAAGACTTTTATTGTTTTGATTTGTAAAATCTCTTGTCCTGTGTTAGATATCAAGTGATATGGCTATACAATTGATTCCGCTTAATTGGGACATATTGGGACTAATCCATTTTGGTCAATTAAGCAGCTTCCCCAATTAAATAAACCAATAATAAATGTTAAAATAAAATATGTAATATGTAGGTAAGTAAATAAGTAGGTAAAAAATAATAATAATTAGGTACCTATTTTAATGCTTTATTAAACCAAAATACAGAAAATATTCAGACTCGGGACAATATATAACTGATTCATGTCATGCTAGTGTTGCCAAATACAGTATTAGTAGTGACATACACAAGGATTGATCATTCAATTTGTTTCTGATCAAATGATTTTTCCTTTCTATCTTTTTAGTTAGAACATGTTCTAGCTAAAAAAGAAGAAAGGAAAGGGTTTGTCCAAAAGTCACCTTACGGTTTTCCTTTGAGCACAGTTTCCTTTACTTGGAGATCGGCCACTTCAGCGGGAGCGCCCATAGAATTCTCCAACTCTGGATGTTGGTCTCAACGATCGGGTGGCTGCTGTCCGAATCTAGACATAATCATGCACACAATACTTTCCAAGGGAACTTTAGTTGTCTTCCAACTCAGTTGAGAGACCTCGAAAAATTGTCTGGGGATCTTTGTCCCTTTGCTTGTAAGGGGATGTCTGGTCTAATCCAGAGCAGGGTCAGTAGTTCACATTCAGGTCCACCTCAGACAAAATCCCCATGTGATATGTCCCGTTATGCTGACCCTCTCTGGAAAAACCAAACTGCCCGAGCAAAAAACAAACTTGCTTTGTCTCTGCCAACCGTTAGGCCTACATGACATTAGTGTATGCTGTGTCTACATATTTTCGGAAGATCTCTAAAACATATCAAAAATTGATAAATTCCTTTTCTGCTACTGTCCCAATTAAGCAATTAAATTATGTATTAATTTTCTGTTCTTTGAGATTTGGTTCAATAAAGCAGCTGCACCAATTAACTGGTGGCTCAATTAAACAGAATTGACTGTATTCATCTGCATTTGTCTATAGTTCTCTCTATTCATGTACAAATATCATTTCTCCTTAAGTTTCGGACATGTGAAGTTTTTAAATAGAGCTCGTTTTTATTAAGAAATGATATATAAAAATTATTTTTTACTATTTGTTTCATTTTACAAACATTTCCTATAAAATACTTAATAATTATAGTTTAAATTTCAAAAATAACAATAAAAATTTTCAAATTTATAAATTACGTAATTTTCTGAATTACATTTAAGAAGTTGAAAATTAATCTGTTTGATAAGTGTTTATGTTGCATGTGTTTTTAAGTATTAATTTTTAATTTTATCAGATTTTTTTTTAATTGTAAAATTAACAGACGTTTAAAGAATCCTATATCGTTTTTAAAACTTTCTCTTTTAGGTTCTGGCCATCAAGAAGCTTATCCCCAGCCTTCACCAAATCAAATGATGGATGGCTATCCACCTTCTAATTATTCTGGACCATATCCTCCACCTTCTGCTTCACATACTGGTGCTGGTATGATAACTTCTGGAGACTATCCATCTAGTCAGCATCCTTCTTATGGACAGTCACCACATCATCATAACCAAATGCCCAATCATATGGTTAGTGGTTCGGAAACAATGAACATGCAAGATCCTTTTTCGGAAGAAATACAGAGCAATCAATACCAAAGGTCTACACCTGCTAATAATTATTCTTATTCTCAGACTTCAATAAATTCTATGGTACCTCCTTTTTCTGGAACTCAAGCAAGCATGAGTGGCGGGTCTTATGGCTATACCAATGCTGCAATTCCTCCACAACAAGAACAGTACGGAGAACAGTATTCACAACATCCAAATTTAATGGCTTCGGCCGATTCTTCTACCTACACTCATCCTAGAGGATTGGTTCAGGAACCTTGTAACCAACCGTCTGGCGGATATCCTCCCAACAGACCACTCAGACAACATACTGCCGCTCAATATCCTTATCAGGGTCATTGCGATCGCGAGAGGTTAGCGACTGCTCGACAGTATTCTATTTTTTATTCAAAATTAGCATAAATTAATTAATATTAATCAAATGTAATTGTTTACAGATATGATCAACAACAGCCAGCACCTGTGATGCAACCTACCTCTCAAATAAATAACCCATTGATGGTTAGTAATGCAATGCAGGGTGATCCATCACTTTATCAATCTCAGCGATTTACTGCACAACAGATGAGCATGCCGCCTCGCGATACGATGACTCCGCAACCGCCCACCGGCTTTCAACCGAGAGCTTCGATGACACCTAATCAGTATCCCGCAGGGATAGCAGGGCAGGTACCCGGTCAAACACATTATTCTCAAGCTCAACCTGACGGATTCAGAGGGGCTGAGGTTCCTGCACAATATCAAGTAAGTTTTCAGAATAGAATATTTATTTTCATATTCCATTATACATGCATATGAGATTTTAAGAGATTTTTTTAAAGAAAATTTTATGGATGGTAAAAGTGTTTTCTTAACAACTTCTGTGTGTGTGTTTGTTTGTTTGTAATATGCAGTTTTTATTTTTTTTAAATGAAATTAGGAAAATCAGTTATAAATTAGAAAATCTTTCTACATGTAAATTAATTTTTTCCTTTTTCTCTCAATTGTTATAGGTTTAAATTTTCTTACAAATTAGAATTTCAAAAATTCAAATGTTTGAGTTATCCTTATCCATTCACATATTCCAATCATATATTTTTTCCACGATATTTTAAATAAATATAAATCAGATAAATCGTTACTTAAATCATAAGTTTGAGAAATTGTAGCCCAATCAGCATGAGACAAATTTACTTCTTTGAAGATATATAAGACTAACATGTAACATACATTAATTACCAGATGTATTAGGCAGAATTTTATTTATAATGCTTACTTAATAGAAAATCTTTAAAAAAGAGGGAGTAAATTTTTCATTACATTTATGATTTTATGCATTATCTAGCTTAGTACATTATCCCGAATGCACTAAGCTTTTGCATAAACTTGGAAACTTTCTGCTGCCATAACACCAATCCAATTTGCGGTTTTGCATAAATTTAAGTAAGTGAATACATTTGTTTAAATTACAACAGAAAAATGCTTTTTGTTTTCTGTAATTCATTACGTGATATGTAACAAGTTAATAAATTTATTACATTATTAATCATCATAGATTTGTCATAATTACAGTTATATATTAAACATGTTCTTAGAGAATACAAATTTATTATTTCATTAAATAATTTACATATATAACACGTTACATTAGACATTTTAACAGTTTAAAATATTGATAAAATAATAAAAAGTATTAAATCTAATTAAAATAAAATTCACTGGTCTTACAGTTTTATCTGTGGATAATTTTTTCCATTATATTTTGATGCCACATTCATTTCATATAACATAATAGAAGCAAAATTGAGTAATGAATTGATTCCAGACAAAGTTGCTGCAGTTTGAAGGAATGGACATTTATTGAGTTTCATAATTTAACTGTTCTTCTCTTGTTGTTTGGCTTGTATAAACTAATCCACTCTTTTCGGGCACTTAGAATAATGGCTAAATATAACAATGGTTACACTCTTATAGAAGTAATCTGTTTATGTCTAAGAAATGTCTGTTGATGTTAGAAAGACATTTAATAACTGCGAAGATGGCATTAATGCAGCGTCAGAAGCACCATCGAGTTTTTTGTTATTAAATGTCTTTCTATTGCTTACAGATGGTTATTCTTTCTTAACTTCTTTAGTATCCTACATTGAAGTTACTTACATCTCAGTAAAGTATTTGTGTAATATACGTTCCATGTCTTCATCGAACAAATGCTAATTTTGAACAGTTTACTGAACTGTAAGTAATAATATTATTTGAGACTTTTATCTTATTATTACTGACATTCAAGTGCATTAAATAATAATGCAACATAGAATAAGTGGGACTTGCGGGTTTGAGTTTACTCTGGGTCTGTCGATCTTTCCTTCTACAATATTCTAAAATTAATTTTTTCTAATGATTAAATTTAACACTTGGTAGCTTAATCACCTGTTTCAAATTACTAGGTATTTTAGCAATTAATGTTGTACATGGGTGGCAAACATTATCCGAGCAACATCATCTGTAACATTTGAGATAAAATATAAAAGAAATAAAATTAATTAGCCAAATTATAGCTCAATAAGAACCCATCTGTGTTTTTTAGTTACAATACTAATTGCTTTTGTATTTTAACATTCCAGAGAGGAATTTGTTGGATAAAGATTTTTCTAAACATTAAATCTTTCTGTTTTTATTTTTTGTAAAGAAAGATCTTCGAAATTTGCCTTATATTATCAAAGTTATTTTCCTTTTAATATTTTGCTTGCATAATGACAACATTTTAAATGATTAAATACAGTTAAATATTTTCTGCTCAAATCTGTAGCATGAAGTTGTACTACAAGCTTGGATTGCTAATACTAAAAGCTGCCATTTCTAGTATAATGTACATAAGTGAAAAAATTCCGAGTCAGAAATAAAAGACACAAAGGATAGTTTACAAAATGCATAATTTTAAGGAATAATTACAAAAATAAATTTTTAGAAGTAATTTTTTTATATTTAGAAGGCTTTGCTTTTGAAGAATGAATTACCTTCGAAATAATATTGTACAGTACATCTGAGTGTGTTTTGGATGCACGCATGTTAGTTACGCAGTCTAACATAACATAGATTCTCTTTTTCTTCGATTTATGTCACTTTCTCTTCCGAAAATGAAACATTTTTCTAATAGAGGCAACCTAAAATTTTTATTCAAACGTTTAGAAATATGACTAAAATAGTTTCTAGTTTAAAGATGTTCAAAATTTGTCCATAATCATATTGAATAACATTGTATAATTAATTTCACTTCATTTAGTATCATACAGAATAGAAAATAAACAAATGGGAAGTCTCTCTGTTATATAAATATTGTTTTTATAACTCTGCATTTATTGAATTTGTCCCTTTTTGTACTGACTTGACCTATTGGCGGAATGGAGAAAACTCTGAATGCTGGTAGCAGGTCCGGGGTTTGCACCTTGCTGATGGCTCGACCACATGGAGCTTTCTGGATTTTATTTATGTGCAAATAAGGGCCAGTTTTCCATAGAAAGTCCTACCACATGGATATTCTATGAGTTGCCGTATTCCATACTAAACTTTCTGTAATGACAGTAACTTCAAAACAATAAAATTTCACTTTTAATTGTTATTCTTTCAACAGCTAGTAGCCAGTTTGATAAATGGATTTATATTGCTTGTGGTTTTGAATGCCATATTTGAAGAGTCGATACAATATTAATAAGGCACTACAACATTCAAATAAAATAATAGCAAATAGCTTTTCAATCTTAATTTTTAAATTTTATAATATATGCAATTATTTATAATAATTTTAAACAAAAATATTTGTACTATTATTAACATATTTTGTATATTTAAAAAGAAAAAGAAAGTCAGATAAATGATTCATGTTGCACATTTTTATTGGCAACCCGTCAATGTTTTATTTATCTATCCTTTGCACATTATCTTTTTAAAATGCACACACGTGTTTCTTCCTTTTCTCGTCATTAAATATCACAAAATTCACGTGCATAATATTTATAGTTATATATTCTACATCTATTTTCTCAATGCATGTTTTAATTTTAAGATTTAAGACTTTTTAATATTATTATTATAAATTATATTTATATACGTATCTGCACATTTAATTAAAAAAAAAAAAAGCAAAACTTCAGTTCGAAAACTTTCAAATCTTATGTCTGGAGTTTTATGAAAATTTTCATTTGTGGCCATAAACTGGGGCATTTCAAAGCTGCCGCGGACGGATCGTCGGCAAAACACTCGATGCAGAAACTTATATAAGTATAATGATGACTGAATTTCAAAGTAACTATTATTGCATGGTGTCTTGTGCATGTCACTTAGTTATTACTTGCTGTCCTCAGAATCAGATGTCCTGTCTACAGACATTCCAGCGACTTCTTTCCAAGAATCCCCAAGTAGGTTTTTCTATTTTTTATTCACATTCTCTCTTCTCTCTCTCACTGCATTTCTGTTTTTTATTTATTTATTTATTTATTTTTGTTAAATATTATTTTGTTATATTGTGTATTTAAATCATACATATTACTGCATAAGAATAAAACAAGTGAATGCCGTCCATTTCACTTTGGAGTCAAATCATAAAGAAATGTTAATGGAGCTTCAAAACACAACATANCATTTTTGTGTTTAAAACGTCGGCCACAACCTCTCTTTTCTCTACTATATCCAAACAACAATTAAAAATTTATCAGTTTTATTTAGTTTTCCTCCATTACGAAACACCAATCCCTTTGTTTTTCTGAAAATTAATAGAAAGATCATATCTCATCATATAATAAAATCAGTTTCTCGTGTAAAGATGACTTTGAGTTTGCTAATAATAATACATCATCTGCATATAGAAGACAATGCAGCTCATCTGTGACATTTAGATAAAAACTCAAAAGATCAGAATGACAGTATAACTCTGGTAGATCATTTATAAACAAAGCAAAGTGTACAATATAAATAGTTTTTCTAGCTGAAGAAAACATACAAAAACCATCAGATTTATTTCTCCAGTTTGCTTAAACATGTACATTTCTTTACTTCACTAAGAGCCTAACCTTTTACAACATATTTGGCACTTTCACTTGGGACTAAACTGCTCAGAATTTGAGGAACACTACAGCATGTATATCTCAGTCCTAAGACTTTATTTATGTAAAAATACATAAGACACTGTGGACCTATAGTGGAAAGAGAATCTTTCTAACCTGTGCCCTTGAAAAAATGTCTGTAGCACTGTCTAAAATAAGAGTGAGAGAATTGCGTGCATTTAAAGGATTGTGAGGAAACTTAACCCAAGTTGTGTGTTTAAAATCGTAATTCGTTATTTTCTTAATTTGTGAATTTTCCATTTATTTATTTATTTTTGTTAAATATTATTTTGTTATATTGTGTATTTAAATCATACATATTACTGCATAAGAATAAAACAAGTGAATGCCGTCCATTTCACTTTGGAGTCAAATCATAAAGAAACGTTAATGGAGCTTCAAAACAAAACATACGTAATAAAATTTATTATATGTCGAGAGTAAAAAGTACGTTATGAATAATACCTTATTTCCTTGATTCTAAGTTGCACTTTCTTTACCCGTCTCTGCTTTCCCGAAGTAGAGGCGTGTTTTAGAATCTGTTGTGTTTTACATTCACGGATGAAAACAACGATTAAAAGTCATCGCAAGTAGACTGCGTGTCCTGTTATGCATTGATTGATAAATTTTTTTGGCAATAGAACTAAATAGTTACTTTGGCTTGAATGAACTTTTTTGGTAACCATTTAATGTTTAAAATGCCTTCAAGATGATGATATGATTTAGTGTTAAAATGAGTTATGCCAAAGAGCATGATGAAGCTGCAAACATTATATGTTTTTTGACATTTATATTGTTTTTTCTTACTTGTAAAGTCAAGAAAACAATATAAAAGTGATTGTTTAAAAATCCATAGAATGAAATCATACGATCTTGATTTTCAGAGTTATGGTACATGTTAGAATTGAGGAAATATGACATATTCTGGACCACTCTAGAAAAATAATCCATTGATTTCATTAGAATAAATTAAAAGCAGCCAAGATATGATAAGTATTTTGTTGCTGACTTAATTTTTGTTTTCCAGAATACCCATAGGTAAAATATCGTTATCAAAACAGAGAGAAAAAATTACTGCTGTAATCAGTTTTCTCATGGCATATTTTGAACCTCCATTAAAGTATCTCTATGACCAAATATATCAATTATTTTTTCTATATAATAATAGATTAATTATTATTATTATTGCTTTGCAAATTATTAATAAAATTTAGTAAATTTTTCAAAAATTAATACATTGACAATTGTAATTATAAGAGAAATATAACAGAAATATAAAGTAGCATTTTTATTGCAATCTGATGAAAATTCTATTTACTAATGAATTAGTAAGTAGAACTTTTACCAGAGAACATACTAAATTCAAGAAAAACGCATCTAAATATGAAAAGTTTAAGAGTATTACAACAATATTAAGTTTAAAACTTAATGTAAAAACAAACTGTGGTCTGATTTAATGAAATAATCCGGTAATTTAATCCCTTTGGTTGTTTGAAACTTAACATTGAAACTAGTAAATGGATTGAATTTTGTTGCCAATATATTTCATCTAAAATAGTAACTGAAAAAAAAAAATACTTTTTATTTATCTTCTAAATAAAATTGCTTGCTAATTGCAATTTATTTTAATATAACTTTTTTTTTTTTTATTATTTAAATTAGTATTTTTGTTATCGACTTCTATGCTCGTGCAAAATTTTGTTTATTAATTATTTGAGAGTTCTACGGGCGGTGCTTTTATTATTTTCTAAAATTAGTTTGCAGATTTATGCATCATCATTAAAGTAATTAGTTAACAGTATTTAATTGTAAAATAAAAATTAATATTCAACGATGTTTCTAAAGGGTTATTCGTCTGCTCAGCAGAATATGTACGGACACGGTGGACCCCAGGCGCCCGCAAAAGTCGTGACTCCACCGACCGCCAACCGAGACATATATCAGAGAGAGGTGTATCCTCCAACTCCAAAGCGTCATATGGATTTCATGAAGCCTAGTCTTCCCGATCAGTATTCGTCCGGATCGTACAGTCAGCAGGCGGCATCGCCCTCTCCTTACGGAGGTAAGCAGTTTGTGACCATAACACGTTATTTGAGTCTTTGTATCGAACCAAAATCTCTTGCATAGGTTGGAACTTTTATATGAATTTTTTATTTATTACAATTTTTAACATATTTTTTCATAGCATTAGCATTGTAATAGTTTTTTTCCTTTAATCTTTAATTTGCTCATCTTTGGAAGAATGACACATTACGAGTGAATTGTAAACCAAGAAAATATCCAAAATGAAGGCAAAGTGATATTTTTTCAGTGAAAACTTTACTACACAACAAATGTTTCTATTTACAAATTGCCTGTTAAATAACTATCTTTGAATTTAAACATTAAAAAAGAATAGAAAAATAATTACATCGTACAAATAATATTACACTTAAGATACAATTTCCACATTGATTAATTGTAATAAAAATTGAATATAATCCATGTGATTTTATGTAATTCCAAATGACTTCCAGAAATAGTTCAACTTAGAGTATACAAATAATATAATTGACGATATACTTCCTAGTATAAAGAAATTACAGATTTGGTCTCAAAATTAGATATTTCAAAATTATTAAGGAAATTTACTGTTTAAGTATTAAACGTTATCATTAGAAAGTGACTGCGTCAAATTGTTTTCGTAAAAATTGGTGAAACTTGGTACCATTGCCAATATATAAGTGGGTAGACGAGATGTCCATTCAATTTCAGAAAGTAAAAATTAATAAATGAAATGTTTTTATATACTATCATTGATATATACACACATGCATTCAACAGAATATATTGAATTAGAACATGATTCTATTGATTTATAAATTTATTACGGTTAATTTCTAGTTAATTAGATATAAAGTTTGGGTTATTTTTTATAAAATTACCTTTTACAAAATTCTATAACTGCGGTGGCCAAACTGCGACTCTGGTATACTTATACAATTTCTTTTTACATACTCCGTATGCAATATTTATGCATGGGTAATATTTTTGTAAGTTTTCTGGCTATTATGTAATGTGATACGTGGGAGAATTGTAACAATAACTTGCAACTCAACCTCCGCACACGTGAGCATCCAAAGATAACGGTATGTTCAAAGTTAAAGGAATTAAACTAATGTTTACCTATTCACTCATAAAGTACCAGTAAAGTAAAATATTAGTGAAGGCTCTATTACAGAATGGTGATAACTATAGAATTTTAATTACTACGTAGATATAAAAAAACTGTTCCAATAGAGAATGTGGGTCTTGCATATTTCTTAAAGGCTTTTTATGGCTCCTATCATGACAAGATTTGGCCACCCTGATCTATGATGATGATGATTTTTTTTCTTTTCCTGGCACTTTTGGAAAATATATAAATTGGAGAAGGTGATGTTCTGTATATAGAATTTTTGTTGGAAACTTCTTAATGCTATATATAAAAAATTATTGAAAATAATATGTAGACTAAATTTCAATAAGAATGAAGACGAAATCTGCCCAAAAGGGATCACCATTTTATTTTTATGTTTTAAGACAATACTTTTTCAGCGACTGACCTTTCTTTGTAGGCTACTTGTCGCCGGTAGTATAAAATAGTCCTTTTAAAACACAAAATACTTTGAATTAAAATTACTAAATAATTTCTAAAAAAGGAACTGGTGATAACAGATGTCTTGCTTATGTCCATCCATACCTTCTCTGGGGGTGTAACTGCTTTTATCTACTGGAAACTGGCACTGGAAAATGTAGATTTGAAAAAAGCTGCCCCCTAGTGACTTTTGGGTAGATTTCATCTTCATTCTTATTGAAAAATAATTCTCCGTCAGATGAAAATTTACTGATGTAGACTAAATCTCAAATTGTAAATTAGAAGGATTCTTTTCAGGGAAAGATATTTATATCCTCCTCTAATATCTATAAATATCATTTGCTAGTGGTTGAATCTGCCTCAGATTTGAAACTACAAACTACAGGAATTTTGTACTTCACAACCCAAGGCAGGCTTATAAAATAAACTGTAAATGTTTGTAAATTCATTTATTAAACCCACTTGCCAGAAGTGTGTAAATGCTTTTGATTTTACGAGTTATTTATTCCAGCTTTAGTTTTGGATTTTTTCTTTCTTTTTGCTTTATCAATGTTGAATACTGAATTTTTATTTGTTTAGTTAAGCAATCATTTATGTAAAATTAGTAAAAAATTCTTTGCCCTCCCTTATTCTCATCATACAATTCTGTTTGTATGGTGGTTATTCCTGGAGGTAAAATAATTATTCTATGGACACTGAAAATATATATATATATGCACTATTTGGTGTACTGGAATAACAGATTTAAAGGTTACCACAGTTGTATGTAAGTTTTTAATTTTGTTTTAAATAAAAGCGATACAGGTGCCCTTTAGACTTCCGTTTCATCCCCTTTCCTATCCTTCTTTATAATTTCACCTTCAGCCTTTTCCTTTAAATCATCTTTCTTCTCTATTTTCATCCCAAGCAATACCTTTGAGTAGCCCTGGTTTCATTCCCTATCTGCTGCTAAAAGTAAAAGTGGTTTAAACAAGGAGTATTTTATTAAAAAGTCTCAAAAAATCGTCTTTGTAACAAATTTATTTGTTTACAGTGTTTTTGAGAAAAAAATAAAGAACATTTCTAAGTAATATCATATTTTCTGGTTTTTATGCAGACAGAATTTTGTTTGGAAAGAATAGAAAATTTTTTAAATTTCACATGTAGAAGAAACACAAAGGTCTTTGCGGTTGTCCTTGCTTTTATTGAGTGTATTTTGAGGTACAAATTGTTTTGTCGTGCACAAAGCCTTGAAGATTTTTATATACATCTGTGTGTCTTTTGCATTCTGTTAGCTTATGTTTCTGTCAATTCTGTTTTACTTTTTAACATTTCGAAGTTTTGAAATATGACATACAAGAACAAAGATATATTTTACGGGTATTTTCGGAAAATCTAGGAAAGGCAATTTTGGGTCAATGCTAAATCACATAATTGGCATTTACAAGAAGCATTTATTTAGCATTTAGAAGAAATTACTCGTGTATTTGTTTTTGAAGAACTATAGGAGGAAATTTTCTATACAGAAAGATGATTTGGCGGACATTCAGATTTTTAGCAGAGTTTTTTAAATTTTACAGAGGATGAAAATCTTAAAAATTCAACGAGAAATACTAAAGTTTACAATTGGATGCAAGTTTAAAATAGTAATTATTTGGATTGTGTTGAGATTGTTTTGTCAAGCAAATGGTCAAGAGTAAAGTGAAGTAACAGCCAGTCAATGGTCATGTAAGAAGTGTGTTTAATTGTTAACAAGACCAATAATGAGATAAAAGATCAACTGTCAGAATAAAACAATATAAACACAAGCAAGTTAATTAAAAAGTTTCAGAAAATGGTAGATTCGGTACAGCTCTGTCAGTGGTAGATTTGGAGTATTTCTCGAATTCTTTTTTTTTTTATGCAGAATTTTTGGTATCAATGCAATTACTTTTTTTAGTGTAATCTATACCTACATTATCTGAATTAAATAAAAGCAAATTAATGTAAATTTTGTATTTTGTGAAGCCACATATATGTTCTTACAAATTTTCTATTCCAAACAGATCGTAGTCAGTATGGTTATCGCAGTTCCCACATGATGCCGATGTCTACCTCTCCTGCAATTCAGCAAGGTATGATATTGTAGAAAAATTAAATTTAAAATATTTCTAGATTTATTAAATGTAAGTGTTTAGATTCAAATAATAATTTCAAAACAGACTAAAATTTGTGATTGAATTATAAAGCAACAGTCTGCAAATTTTCATTTATTTCAAACCTTTTGCAGATTGTACTTTTGGTAAAGATCAATTAGACACTTCCCAGCAACAAACCCAAAACCACTGCTTTGTTTGGCCATCGGGTTGGCCAATTTTATTAGCATATCTAACACCTAATAGGGGCCAGTTTCCAATTTAAAAAACCCCTTCCCGGCAGCCTTCCTCCTTCACAGAAATGGTTAAATTCCTTAGCTGGGAGCCATCCAGATTCATGTTCAGACCTTACCTTCAGAAGTTTTCGTGGGTGGTTGCACTCCATTCCATTTTGGGCCCAGCAGAACCGATGACGAGTATGAAACATAACCACAGAGTAGAATTTTTATACAGATTTGGTTACTAAAAGTTTTTGGCCCGATGTGCGTGTCCTATTCCAATGACATTTTAAACGAAATTGACAAAGGAATGAGTTAGTTTGTGAAAAAAATGGAGGTGGGCAATATCGACGTTTATAAATGTACTCAAGTATACAAATTGTGGATTAAAAGGTGTAATGATACAAATAACTGCATTGGTGATATTTGTAACAGCCATTTTGTTATAAATGAAAGTAAGAATAAAGATGACGTCATTCTCATTTAACTCGTTCAACTTTACCAATGAACCTGAAATTTTTTGAGTGTTTTAAGCCAATGTTTATCTCTTTCGACATTTATCTTCAATGGCATCTACCTAGGCACATTTGATGTTGCTAATCTATATATATAATCGAGATGGGTTGCTAATAATAATAATAATCACAGAGCCCAAATGGTTAGGAGTCAAAAGTTGAAATTTGGTACACAATTAGGTTACATCATGAGAATGCACACTAAGAAGGTCACTTTTGACGTAATGCACTCTTTTCTGGCGATTCCTCTCCCCTTATGAACTAAGCTTTCATTTTTATGTTGTGTTTGTTATTCTGTATTAAATAAGGCAAATGTTGGGGAAAAGTGGTGTGTTTTTAAAGTTGCAGCAAAAATATGGTGTGACGTAAATTAAGTATTACGTTGCCTATTTATTAGGTTGGTCAAGAGAGACCCAGTACCGTCAGTACCAGTCTGTCTATCCTCATCCCCAGAGAGACGGATGGGATAACACCAGACCCGAAGGTCCCAACACGTGGTCACACTACGCACCGCCTCAATCCGAATCTTATCATCCACATATGGGAAGTTATTCTCCTTCGTTACCCGGTAAACCCATGTATGGTAGAGACAGAATGTATATTCCTCCTAACAAAGTTGCCGTAAGTTTCCTAAATTTTTCTCTCTTGTATTGTAATTGGTTGGTTTTTTTACCTAAGAGACATTTTGTGTTTTCAGCCATCACCGGGAATATCTCAACAGCCTCAGTTCTTGCAGACACCGGGACGCAAGGAGATCATCTTTCCACAGGAGAGCGTGGAGGCGACGATTCCTCTGATGACCAAGCGAAGAAGGATCTCATCCAAGGATGTCACTCCCCTGGAGGCCTGGAGGATCATGATGGCGCTGAAGTCGGGCCTCCTGGCCGAGAGCACGTGGGCCCTAGACGTTCTCTCCGTCTTGCTGTACGATGACAACACTGTTTTGTATTTCGGCCTGAGCCACCTGCCGGGTCTTCTGGAAGTGCTTCTAGAACACTACCGACGATGCCTGAAACTGATATTCGGACTGACAGGTGATCTGGAAGTGGGCTACGAGACCAGGTATCACATGGATCCAGATCCGGAGGACGAGCAGGAGCGGTTGTGCGACAGAAAGTGGTACGAAACGAGTCACGGTCCCTATGACAAGTTTAAGGTCAGTGGACCGATTCCCATATCGCAGATAGACAATAGCGACAAGACCGTCATCCTCGACAAGGAGAACTTCACTCAAAGGACAAGATGTGGTAAAACGGTTAAGACGAAGAATGACGAGAGCCTCTTTCTCCTCGACCCCGAAAGGGCCTGGGACTGCTACGAGGGTTTCGAGAGCGGAATGGGACACTGGCATCTGGGAGGAGGCGACATGACCTGCCACATTCAGACGTATTTTGAGAACACACACAGTTATGTAAAGTTTGTTCGCGTTTTGGAAGACGTGGTGAAATCCGAGAGAAGCGAATCCAGATGTTCGGATGATTCGGACCTCCCCGAAGAATCAAACAAATCGGTGGCGTCGTCCTCCAGCAGTGACAGAGAGATCCCCGTTTTAGAGAACATGCAGTGCGTGGTGGAGAATAAGGACGAGTCAGAACACTCGGAGGAGCGCAAGGAGGACGACATCAAGCAAGAGCCGAAGGAGGAGGAATCGTCAAAGGAAAATCAAAACGAGGAGGAGGAAGACGACGAGGATGACAAGAAGCCGGTTTTGGAACCCATGAAGGACGACGAATATCCGAAAATCCGCGAGACGTCATACCCTAGAAAGCGCCTCCACCTGGAGGACATGGAGGACGAGGCGTACAACCGAGACGAGCCGTCTTTGTGTGTCATCACCGATTCTCAGATATCTCTGACGCGACGTTGTTTGTGTCTGTCTACGCTGTTCCGAAATTTGTCGTTCGTTCCCGGCAACGATGCCGAAATGTCTAAGCACGCGGGATTTTTACTGTTGATGGGTCGTCTGTTGTTGTTGCATCATCACCATTCGTTGAAGAAAGTCTCTCAGCAGCATTACGACCAGGAAGAAGAATTGGAGAATCCCTCCGCCTCAGACTCTTGTAGTAGCTTAAGTAGTAAGCGAGAGTGGTGGTGGGACATGCTTCACATGTTGAGAGAGAACACCCTAGTTACGTTGGCCAACATTACCGGCCAGCTAGATTTGGCCCCCTATCCGGAAGAGATCAGTCTTCCTCTTCTGGACGGACTACTGCATTGGGCCGTGTGTCCGTCGACGTACGCTCAGGATCCACTTCCTTCGCAGCCACCTCACTCCGTCCTTTCGCCTCAACGTCTGTCTCTGGAAGCACTCTGCAAACTGTCGATCCTCGACGGTAACGTGGATCTGTTACTAGCAACACCGCCGTGGTCACGCATCGAAAGACTCTTCTCCCTGCTGTCTCGATTCCTCAACTACAACGAGGATCAGGTGTTGCGCGAGTTCTCCGTCGTCCTCTTGTCTAACCTGGCTCAGGCGGACGGCACGGTCACGCGATCCATAGTCACGCAGGGATCTTGCATCTCGCAGCTGATCCTGTTCGTCGAGCAGGCCGAGCAGAACGCATTGCAGGTGGCCAACACTCAAGGCATCAACGCGCTCCGAAAGAACCCCGAATTGATGGGTACCACGCTGGACATGGTGCGCAGAGCGGCCGGTACCCTGCGCTGCCTGGCACGGATACCGGAAAACAAACCGCTCTTTCTACAACACCACCAGCGACTGCTGGCCTTAGTCATGTCCCAAATTTTAGATCAGGGTGTAGCTTCGATCGTAGCCGACGTTCTCTACGAGTGCTCTCAAGACATTTCGGATTTCGGTAGTAGTGCCACTCATTCGTTCACTAAATCATAGTAATCGTTGTTGCACCGTGTGCAGAAAATAAAATAAAAGAAAATAAAAAATTTTAAAGTATTTGGGCGTTGCCTTGTCGCCTGCCCAAATTCGGGCAGACAGAAGAAAAAGAAAGAAACAAACAAACAAAGAAAACCACCACCACCGATACGTGCCGGGCCCAAAATCTGCAGCTAATTTCGAAGGTGCGAGTAGTCGCATTACGAATTTTCGAACACACGAAAGGAACTGTGGAATGTGATGAGACAAAAGAAAAGAAGAGAAGAAAGGTTCCCAAGAGGCGAACACACATCCAAAACTTCTGTTACTATTTATTTATCATATTGTCGGGGCCTCGAATGTGTGTGCGTGTGCGTGAGTGCGTGAAGGATGTAAGAAAACACTATAAACGGACGGCGTGCCACGTCGGACGGGTGCGTAGATAAGAACGTGACGTAAGAAAAAGAAAAAAATAAATAAAAATAATATCTACCTTCACCAAAAAAAAAACAATCGTCGGGCACGAGAATATATTAAAAACAAAGAAGTTCATAATAAACAGCACATGTGATCTCCAGAAAAAAAAACAATGCTTTCAAGCAGAAGAAAACTCCACCCATCAAATCGTAAGAAAGATCTCTTGTAGATAATTAAAAAAGAAAATGCCAGCATAGTGTTAACCCTATTGACAGGGTGTTTATTATTATTATTATTACCTAATAGGAATTTCGGGAGTTGTTTCCCTCGAGGCCATGGTATATTTTTGTTTAATTTGTACAAGTTTCCGGATGTACAGCACCTGGCTGAAGTTCTGTAACGTCCGCCGTAAACAGGGAGGGGAGGTCCTCTCTCCTTCCGCCCACCCACATCCATTTAATTTAAAAATGGTTGTTTGTACCCATGTATCGTGACCGTGTTATGCCGAAATGTATTTGTTTCTCAGCATGACCCGATGCGTCATTCTGGAAACGACCCATTAACAAAAAAAAAAAAAAATACAAAGAAAGAAAAGAAGAAAACAAGAAATGGACGACCGACAAAATTCTATTAAAAGCCAATTTTTTTTTCTGTTGGATCTGCAAAAAGTGTAGAGGTGAGGTCGAAATCTGGCATTTCCTCCAAGTCATTCTTTCGTACCAACGCGTGCAGAAGCTTTATACTATGTATATGTCTGACGATCCTGAAATAAATGTACAGAAAATTTGGTCTGAAATCATTCTTTAAAACTTCCACCACCCTGGGGTGGAGCGCGCGATCTTTCGTCATCGGTTCCCCACGTCACTTCACCACCGAACGTGTCGATGACGTCAAATAGTACAATTGGCCAGAATAGCACTTGATTTGTGAGTTACGAATTACGTATCGATATTGGTGTGACGTAGCGTGTTTTTTTTTTTTTTTTTAAGTTTCGTAGCCTTAAGCCATTACGCCATCTGACGGCGGTTGTGCGAGTTATATAAATGTTTTTTTGACGTTATCTCGAATTATTTAACGTAACTTTTGATAGGTGGAACGATTAGNGACGTAGCGTGTTTTTTTTTTTTTTTAAGTTTCGTAGCCTTAAGCCATTACGCCATCTGACGGCGGTTGTGCGAGTTATATAAATGTTTTTTTGACGTTATCTCGAATTATTTAACGTAACTTTTGATAGGTGGAACGATTAGAGACGTTGCGCCATCTGTTTTTTTTTTTTTTTTTTTAATGTTTTTGATTTGTAAAATGAATAGCGGAGTAATAAATTACGTTAGATCGGGATTATAAATGATTGCGAGGAATTTTTAAATTTCTCGTGCGAATTTCTGTAAATTAAGTGGAAATTGTTTACTGTGCTAATGTAAGAGGCGTAAAGAAAACTTCGGTTTGAGAAATGAAAAATTTCTCATTCGGCTGCGAATACAAATTAATAACTTTCGTAAGGAATTTAATTAAGCGTGGCGGAAATGCGTCCCGATCAAAAAGCCGGAATTTTTATTCAATCGATAAATGCACGCCGGAGAACTTCGCCCCCATTTTTTATTTATTTATTTTTTAATCGAATGGGAAGTTAAAATTTATAATTATCGAAATAAAACATTTTATTAAAAAAAATAGTAATAATTCCTGGGGAGTTCGACAGAGGGCAGTAGCTTTTCTAGAAAACCATAGTTAATTTTCTGAACAACAGATGGTGCTACGTGTTAATTAGTTTTACTTTGTTTAATAAGTCGCTAAAAACAAGAATATGGCTTGGTAAATTAAGAATTAAATAAATTAAATTTTCTAGAATTTCTTAATATTTAAGATGTGTTGCTGTAGTAGTGGGATTTATAAAATCGATTGTAATAACGGGCTTCACAAATCACGTGATTACGGAATACAAAACAATTCTATTATCTTGTTAATAACGTAAAATATGCCGAATATAAACCTTTAACATATGAAGTTATGTGTATGAAATTGGAAAATAGCTTGTTTTAATGTCTCCTAGTTTGTATGTGTGTATCGATGAATAAGTACAATATCGGTCTCTATAAACAAACAATACAAAAGTAGCTTTTGGTTTCCATAAACAAACTATTGGGAATTCTCTAGCAACCCAAAACAATAAAGATGCGCCCCTTATTTTAGGAATTTCATTCAATTCAAAATATCTAATTCTTATACAGTTTCTACAGTTTATTCTTGAATTTTTGATGATTTTTTTTTTCCGAATGGAAAAAGAAAAATCTAATTATTTGAGAATATTTTATTGCATTTGATAAAATGTACGAGAAATTTTAAAATATTTTCATCTAGGTGCCATTTTTTTAAGGTTAAAACTTGTATTAAAAGCTATATTGTATAATTCAACTTACCTGTCAATCCTTCTTCCAAATTTAATATACATTGCTTGAGTAAATTTAATTTTTCAAACTCCCGGCTCAAAAAATTTTCTTGTTTCTTTTTTTTTATTTAGCTAACATTTTGAGTTTCTTCCAAGAAAAACAGAAGTGAAAAAGTCAATTTTTTTTCCTTTCCTTTTACTATTTAATTATCCATCATTCAGAATCACTTCTTGATTGATTGAATCTCTTGTTTGGAATTTTCTCGACGTCTAACAAGTTTCTCGTCTTTTCTGTTTGTTTTTTTTTTTTTCTTTCTTTCTTTCGATAATAAAACCGGTAAACGATAATTAATTTATTTAAAAAATGTGCTAAAAATAGTATTTTTTTTCCTAGATGATAAATTAACAAAAGTTTAGCGCTTTAAAGTTAAAAACCGCGAGAAATTTTCGCACAAGTTAAAAAAAACAGGGGGCGCTTTAAATTATTAAAATTATGGGCCTGTTCGTTTTACGTCAATTTGACGTCATCGTTTCATTTTACAATGAGAAATTCTAAAGAATGACGTCAAATTTACGTAAAAGTGTGCAAATTACCGTATCAACCTATAATTTTAAGCGCCATCTCATTTTTTCAAACAAGAAATTCAGAGCCAGCGCATTTAANACATATATATATATATATTTTAAAATAAATTCCAGTTTTATTATATAACTGCAGACATAGTTAATATTTATAAGACCTTATGAAAGTGACTTGACCTGACCTGACCTGTGTATATACATACACACAATACACACGTTTTGGATGAGTTTACTTATTTTTTTTATGGAGTAATAGAAATTCTATTGGTAAAAATGGGGATTTATTAATGTGTGTGTTGAACTTTGCTACTGAATGAACGCGTTGACGGACAATCATGAAAGGAAAAATGATTTATTCGTTTATCGAAAAATGGGAACGTATGAAAAGGGGAGTTTAGCACGTGACCACACAAACATTTATACTGACAAGGCACATTATGGATCGTAACTAACGTAACGGTCCATACAGATAGTGAAATAAAATATTACTGCAGCACGGACAACCATATAAAACCTAAAAAATCTCGTTTTTATTTGATGTAGCTGCTTGTAAATGTTTCCTTAAACAAATAAAGATTTAAAATAAAATAAATGTCTTAATAGTTGCTGCTGTTTCGATCGTACTCGAGTCAGACCATTTGTTAATTTTAGTTTATTCGGCTGACGATAGATGGAGGCAAACGATACAAAACCTGCGTTAGGCGGACATTAATAGGATTAATTAATTTTAACTGTCTAAAGGTTTTAAACAGGAAAAAAAATTCGTTGTTAATTGAAATTCTAAGTAAAAATTTTCTTAAATAAATTATATTAAAGCCATCTGACGGCGGTTGTGCGAGTTATATAAATGTTTTTTTGACGTTATCTCGAATTATTTAACGTAACTTTTGATAGGTGGAACGATTAGAGACGTTGCGCCATCTGGTTTTTTTTTTAAATGTTTTTGATTTGTAAAATGAATAGCGGAGTAATAAATTACGTTAGATCGGGATTATAAATGATTGCGAGGAATTTTTAAATTTCTCGTGCGAATTTCTGTAAATTAAGTGGAAATTGTTTACTGTGCTAATGTAAGAGGCGTAAAGAAAACTTCGGTTTGAGAAATGAAAAATTTCTCATTCGGCTGCGAATACAAATTAATAACTTTCGTAAGGAATTTAATTAAGCGTGGCGGAAATGCGTCCCGATCAAAAAGCCGGAATTTTTATTCAATCGATAAATGCACGCCGGAGAACTTCGCCCCCATTTTTTATTTATTTATTTTTTAATCGAATGGGAAGTTAAAATTTATAATTATCGAAATAAAACATTTTATTAAAAAAAATAGTAATAATTCCTGGGGAGTTCGACAGAGGGCAGTAGCTTTTCTAGAAAACCATAGTTAATTTTCTGAACAACAGATGGTGCTACGTGTTAATTAGTTTTACTTTGTTTAATAAGTCGCTAAAAACAAGAATATGGCTTGGTAAATTAAGAATTAAATAAATTAAATTTTCTAGAATTTCTTAATATTTAAGATGTGTTGCTGTAGTAGTGGGATTTATAAAATCGATTGTAATAACGGGCTTCACAAATCACGTGATTACGGAATACAAAACAATTCTATTATCTTGTTAATAACGTAAAATATGCCGAATATAAACCTTTAACATATGAAGTTATGTGTATGAAATTGGAAAATAGCTTGTTTTAATGTCTCCTAGTTTGTATGTGTGTATCGATGAATAAGTACAATATCGGTCTCTATAAACAAACAATACAAAAGTAGCTTTTGGTTTCCATAAACAAACTATTGGGAATTCTCTAGCAACCCAAAACAATAAAGATGCGCCCCTTATTTTAGGAATTTCATTCAATTCAAAATATCTAATTCTTATACAGTTTCTACAGTTTATTCTTGAATTTTTGATGATTTTTTTTTCCGAATGGGAAAAGAAAAATCTAATTATTTGAGAATATTTTATTGCATTTGATAAAATGTACGAGAAATTTTAAAATATTTTCATCTAGGTGCCATTTTTTTAAGGTTAAAACTTGTATTAAAAGCTATATTGTATAATTCAACTTACCTGTCAATCCTTCTTCCAAATTTAATATACATTGCTTGAGTAAATTTAATTTTTCAAACTCCCGGCTCAAAAAATTTTCTTGTTTCTTTTTTTTTATTTAGCTAACATTTTGAGTTTCTTCCAAGAAAAACAGAAGTGAAAAAGTCAATTTTTTTTCCTTTCCTTTTACTATTTAATTATCCATCATTCAGAATCACTTCTTGATTGATTGAATCTCTTGTTTGGAATTTTCTCGACGTCTAACAAGTTTCTCGTCTTTTCTGTTTGTTTTTTTTTTTTTCTTTCTTTCTTTCGATAATAAAACCGGTAAACGATAATTAATTTATTTAAAAAATGTGCTAAAAATAGTATTTTTTTTCCTAGATGATAAATTAACAAAAGTTTAGCGCTTTAAAGTTAAAAACCGCGAGAAATTTTCGCACAAGTTAAAAAAAACAGGGGGCGCTTTAAATTATTAAAATTATGGGCCTGTTCGTTTTACGTCAATTTGACGTCATCGTTTCATTTTACAATGAGAAATTCTAAAGAAT